TATATATATATGTGTGTGTGTGTGTGTGTGTGTGTGTGTGTGTGTGTATTCATGTGTACAGAGGCCAGAAGTTAGGTGTCTTCCCCAATTCCTCTCCATCTTAAATTTTGAGACAAGCTCTCTTACTGGAGCCTGGAACAAGCAGGCTAGGTTTATGGACATTGAGCCTTCAGGATCCTGTCTCAGCATCCTTAGTGTTAGATTACAGGCACATGCTGTGTGTGTCCTGCTTTCTTAAGTGGATTCTGGAGAATCTAACTCAGCTCCGAGTGCTATGCCAGGAGCACTGAGTCATCTCCCCAGCCCAGAAAACTTTCTGCTGTGGAAATTTTCACCATGCCTTTACTCTGTCTCATTAAACTGTAGTCAGTGTCTGGCCCTTCAACTACTGGGCATGAGTTTTTTTCTGCAGGGAAGCAAGCTTGCTGTACTCAGGGCAGGGAGCAGGAGCCCCACCTCTGCAGGATGCTTTATGATTTGAAGTATCCAGGTAGCATGAAGATGGTGATTCTTAGAAGATAAATAATTGAGTGTTATTAAACAAAAGTGAAAAATTTGGAATTCTGAAGATCCCATTTTCTTTCTTTTAAACATTGTATTTGTGCATGTTGCATTTATGTGCATGCAGACACAGATGTGCCACAGCATGTGTGTGGAGGTCAGGGGACAAGTGTGGATACTGTCCTTCCACCTTTATGTTGGTTCTGAGGATCCAACTCAAGTCGCCAGACTGTGTGGCAAATGCCTTTACCCACAGAGACATCCTGCAGGTCCTAAATGCTTATTCTTTTGAGGAACTTTTTAATTTACCTGCATGCGATATGTTAGGGGAAAGCAATGTCTTTTGTTTTATCTGAACTAAAGGATTATTATTATTATTATTATTATTATTATTATTATTATTATTATATTTTAAGAGAAATTGGAAAGTAGGGAGTGGGTTTTTTTTTTTTTCAATTTAAAAGTGGGGATTTATTAGCTTTTTTTTTTATTAGAAACTGCTTCTTTTACATGTCAATCCCCATTCCCTCTCTCTCCCCTCCTCCCCTACCCCCCACCCCATCCCAACTCCTTTCTGTTTTCCAGAGAGGGTGAGGCCTTCCATGGGGGAATCTTCAAAGTCATTTGGAGCAGGCCCTAGACCCTCCCCCATGTGTCTAGGCTGAGAGAGTATCCCTCTCTGTGGAGAGGACTCACAAAGCCCATGCATATACTAGGGATAAATACTGACCCACTATCAGAAGCCCCATAGATTGTGCAGACCTCCAAACTGACATCCTCGCTCAGAGGGTCTGGAACAGTCCTATGCTGGTTTCCCAGCTATCAGTTTGGGGTCCTTGTTCAGGTCAGCTGTCCCTGTGGATTTCTCAAATCTGGTCCCACCCCCTTTGCTCATCACTCCTCCCTCTTAGCTCAGTTGGGAGAGCATTAGACTGAAGAAGGGAGCGTTTTCATCTTTCTGGCCCCAAAATGCAGTAATTAAAAGAGATTCTTCAGTTACCTGTGTATAACAGTAAATCTTGATATAGCCCATACTATTCTGATCTTTTGGGGGAGCCTTCCATTTTTAATAGTCTAAAGAGGTTCTGGATTAAGAGAGATGGCATCTCAGTTCTGAACCTCCTCCCTCCTGCTGCTGCCACGTGTTGGATTCTCTTTCAGACTACGCAGTCCAGATTTTCCAAGGTGCAGTAAAGAACGGCACATTTGAGTGCAACCTCAAGGCCAGCACCAGGCTCCCCATGATGTATATCAACGACTGCCTCAGGGCCACCCTGGAAGTCATGGAGGCCCCAGCAGAGCGCCTCTCCATGAGAACCTACAACATCAACGCCATGAGCTTTACCCCCGAGGAGCTGGCCCAAGCCCTCCGCAAGCACGTTCCAGACTTCCAGATCACCTACTGCGTAGATCCCCTCCGACAGGCCATAGGTAGGCCCCCGTACCAGCCCGCTATAGCTCAAAATCGGATGTGGGAGTCCCCAGCCATCCCCGTGGGGTGGTATTAAGGCTGAGGAGCTGCAGTGGCCCACCCGCAGATGCTCCTGTGTGGGAGACATCTCTTCGGGAGAAAGGTTCCAGCTCAGCAAACAGTCTGGCACCATTTCATCTTTGCACAATTTTTTAAAGCAGGGAGAAACAGAAGAAATCAAGGCAGTGTGCAAACAGGCTTGGGCCTTCGTATGGTGTTATTGTCCTCTATGAACTGGAACACCCTTCTGGATACAAGAATATTCTCTTACAAAGCCGAGTTAGGTTTTAATAACATGAAAACCACAGTGTTGGTGCCCAGCCTCTTCATTTATGGGGGGGGGTGGAATTTTCGAGACAGGGTCCTGGAACTCATTCTGTAGACCAGGCTGGCCTCAAACTCACAGAGATTCCCCCTGTCTCTGTCTCCCTAGTGCTGGGATTAGAGGCATGTGTCACCACTGCCTGGTGCCCCGTGTCTTTTGAAGAGTACTAGTTCTGCTTCAGTCAGAGACAAGGTTTCCTTTTCTGTGCCTTCAATATAAAATTCATCCAGTCATTCAAAAATACAGAGCCTGGATAACCCAGCATTCTTTCCCGTGTCTTTCCCCAGCTGATAGCTGGCCCATGAACCTTGATGACAGCAATGCCCGTAAAGACTGGGGCTGGAAACACGACTTTGATCTTCCTGAGTTGGTGGCTACAATGATCAACTTCTACAGAGCCCGCACCAGAATTGCCCAAGCAAACTGAAAAGGGAGGAGAGGCTCCCGTGTCCTCCCAGTGCAAGGGACATGACATTCTCTAAGCTGGAGAACTAATGGGACTGGATTCTGGCAGCTCACATGTGGAGCTCCTTTACTCATTGCCTTTGTTGTGTGCCTAAGTGCCCAAGCACATATGCCACAGAAATGAAGTCCTAAGTGGTAGTTGCTATCTCTTGGAATTTGCAACATTTGTATTTAATTAAATTCAATGTAAGCATCACTCCTGAGACTTTCTTGACCAAAGATTACATTTTAAGGATTTTCAAAGATGTTCTTCATGTTCAGGACTTTCAAACTTCATCAAAAATAATCACTTGCAGCTAACTTTTTACCTAAGATTTGTCTGGGCAATTAAGAACATGAAAGGTGATACAGTTCATAAAGGGCATTTGATTCCATTTAGGGGCTGCTAGAAAGCTTGGTGACGTCTATGGTGACATAGCAACACCAGAGAGACTGTTGAAATGTGTGTTTCTGGGCTTCACCCCCTCAGACTGACCCAGCAATATTGAGTAAGCTGGCTACGGTCCAACCCTGTAAGACAGGTTCCAAGCACAGCTTCTAAAGAGTGCAGTCCTGTGATAGTAGTGAACCCACCACCAGAGAGGATGCTCAAACACTGCTGGCCACACCTGGCCTCCTCCAGAAATCACCAGCAAGGGGACCTTCCAGTTCCACAGCTATAGTCAATAATAGCTGCACTAATACTATAGGTTATTGATGATGAATTGTTACAAATTTAGATTTTTAAACTCTTAGGTTGTGTCATGATTTTTTTTGGGGGGGGGAGTCTTATCTGAATTTGAATCTTTTTAACTAGAGCACTTTTAGATAATTGAGTTTCAATAACTACAATAGTATAGGTTATCATCTCTCACATGCTTAGTATAATTAAGCTTACGTTTGTGGATTTTTATTTCTGAAAACCCTCCTTATAGATTTATTGATACATAGTTCATATACCATAAGATTTATAATTTGGGATCTGGAGAAACGGCTCAGCAGTTAAGAGTGCTTGCTTCTCTTGCAGAGGACCTGAGTTCAGTTCCCAGCACCCATATGGTCACTCACAACCTTCTGCAGCTCCAGTCCCAGGGGATCTGACTCCCTTTTCAGGCCTGTAAGCGCCAGTGCATGGATACATGTACACAGTACACACATCTCACATGTAGGCAAAACACTCATACACATAAAAATAAATAAAACTTAAAATTGATATTGTTTCCCAGTGTGTTAGAGTAGCAGACTTGAGAACAATAAAGAAACTACATGTAACTCCCCTCACTCTGAAGCAACCATCATCTTTCTGTGACTCTGGATGGGGGATTCTGGATATCACATACAACTGGAGCATACTCACTACCGAAGGGCCTCAGATTTGTTAACCTGTTAGACAGCAAGGTCTCACTATTGTGTGTGAACTCAAACTTCAAGTTCACACCTGATACTAAAGCTGCCTTTTGACTCACCTAACAGATTAAGAGCATATGTTCTTGCTTGTGCAAAAAAATGTAAGTCTATAGTTCATGGCGTGATTTTAAAAATCTCTGTGCATGGTGAAATTCAAGTAGCATGAGTAGATAAATACAGAGAAAAGTATGTCTCACATCCTCTATGCAGGTAACCATGACACAGTGTGTGTAATGCTGGCATTGGAACTCAGAGCCTATGCACACCAGGCAAGTGTTTTACCACTAAGCCACATCTCCAGCCTCATTTGCTTGTTTAGTGGCTCTATAGCCCTTAATTGGCTGGCTGTACAGAATTTAACAGGTTCCATTATTAAGGACTTTTGGACTTATATCCCTTAACTGTCATAAATAGTTGTGTAAGAAAGATTTTTGCAAATACATCCCACTTTCATTGTCTTAAAGGGGCCAAAATCTTTTTCTGGAACTTTGAAGTACACAGCTTTTACATCCAACTATTTTTCTATTTAATCGTATTTATTTATTTATTTATTTATTTATTTATTTATTTGATTGGTTGGCTGACTGGCTGGCTGGTTGGTTAGTTGGCTGATTGGTTTTTAGAGACAGAGTTTTTCTGTGCAATAGCCCTAGATGTCCTGAAACTCGCTCTGTAGACCAGTCCTTGAACTCAGAGTTCTGCCTGCCAAGTGCTGGGACTAAAGATATGTCCCACCAGTGCCCATCTCCAACTAACTCTTAAGACCTTTATGGGGTGGTGTCTTTTTTCTTACCATGATAAGTGAATATGAAGACCATACCTGAAACAAAGTGCTGATACCAAGAGCTTTTCATGAGTTATTTACCTATATGTGTTCCTGAAAGATCTGTGTGGTACAAGCACACTATATACATTTCATGTTTCTTTTTCCTCTTAAAAAATTTATTTGTTTTTGTTTGTTTGTTTCAAGGCAGGGCTTCTCTGTGTAGCCCTGGCTGTCCTGGAACTCCCTCTGTAGACCAAGCTGTCCTCAAAGGCAGAGATCCACCTGCCTCTGCCTTCCAAGTGCTGGGATTAAAGGCGTGCACCACCACATCTGGGCCTTCTTTTGTTTTGGGAGTTTTTGTTTGCTTGCTTATCTATTTGAGACAGGGTTTCTCTGTGTAGCTTTGGCTGTCCTGGAACTCTCTGTAGACCAGGCTAGCCTTGAACTCAGTATCTGCTTGCCTCTGCTTCCTGAATTTGGGGATTAATGGCATACTCCTCCTTAAATCACATTTACAGTTCAGAAGTTGATTTAGGAGTGAACCAACTATCATTTCTAGTGCCCTTATTTCATTACTAGTAGGGTATAAATTCATGGTTTACATTCTAATGCACATTAACAAAGCAAAGTCATTCTGCTAAAGCTTCGCATTTGAAGCTCAGTGTGAACAGCATAGCAAAGCATTGTCAGGATAAGGATAATGAGGACAGCAGAGAAATGCTTCACCCACTTCTGCCCCCCACCCAAATGCTGTGTTGATAACACAAGTAATAGAAGTAACAGGAAGAGCATGAAAGATCAAAGGGGAAGACTGCTCCAGATACCACTGTGAAAGTGCAGCTGCCATTCATAAATGCACACTCCTACCTCCAGGGCACGCTTCCTTTGGCTCCTATCTACTGGGGACGGCATCTTGGCCGTCAGGACCACAGCTGTGGACAGCTCTTGCTTCTCCTGGACAGGGCTTCTCAAACATTATCTGCCACCCACAACTCCTCATTTTGTGTGAGCCAGGGTATATAGGTATTTCAAATAGTCATATCTATCACATGTTTACTGACAGTACACCATGTAGAAATCTATCTTTAAAAAAGATTTGTATACATATAATTTTTACCATAGATAGATTGAAGACGAAAGCAAATCTGTGCATTAATGAGATGATAGGCTGGATATTTGACACTGCAGGATATAGGGCATCTTCAACACTTTTCAGAGTATGTCAATATCTTGATTTTTGTAATCATCAATCCTGAGAATTCCTCCCCACATAAATAAGTAGTATAAAAGGCAGAAGTATGATTAGGGCCTGTGATGGTTTGAATGAGAATGTTCCCCCATAGGCTCAAAGGTTTGAATGCTTGGTCCTCAGTTGGTGGGACCATTTGGGAAGATTAGGAGGTATGCTCCTGTTGGAGGAGGGGTGTGATTGCTGGTGGGATTCGAGGTTCCAAAAGACTGGTGCCATTCCCAGTGTGCTCTCTGCTTCCTGTTTGCTGTTTGAGAAGTGAACTCTCAGTTGCTACTCCAGCCAACTTGCTTGCTGCTTGCTTCTACTCGGCCCCACAATGATGGGCTCGTATCCCTCTAAAACTGTAAGCCCAAAACAAACTCTTCCCTTGTAAGTTGTCTTGGTCATAGTGTTTTATCCCAGTAATAGAAAAGTAACTAACACAGGGCCATTTCAGAAGTAGTTGGAAACTATCTTGATCCCAAGCCAAAATTCAGCAAATCATCTTTTTAACTGAAATTCAAACAGCAGTTTTGAAAAGAAAAATCTCCTAACACGATCCAATCAAAAAATATTCTAATCTGATACTTAACACACCTAGGCATGATAATAGGAAGACATTAGGGGGTTTTGTTTCCTGTAGTCAAACCATTATGTTTCTGTGGCAGCAGAAAATCATTGTAGGGGCTGAAACATACTGCCGCTCCTGAGGTTGGGTAGCCTCAGTCTGAGCCATGTTTCCTGGAGTATTTGTAAGACACTGCATGGAGTGATGACCACATAAGGCAAAGCCCATGTGCCCATCTAGAACTACAGTCATGGTGAAGTTTTGTGGACAGTGTGGGTGAACTCTGCCAGAAACACCACGAATTCCTTCTAAATCTGATTTTGTATTAATATTTGGTTGTTTCCTGTTCAGAAACCTTTCTCTGTTAACAAACTTTTTGAAACTTCCACATTCGGGTTTTCACTCCCAGGGTAAAAGCTGGGGGTGGGGTCTGTTTTGGGTCCTTGGCAATGTAAGGAACCCACAGTAGATTGGTGGCTTTGTAATTGCTGGGTGACCTAGATGTCATTCACATCTTTGAGCATGCTTGTGGAAATCTGGTTATAGAGGTTGGATTTGTGCATATGGGAGAGAAAGGAATTCTACTCACTAGTTGGGTTATGTAAGCTTTTTCTTTTAAAGATTTAATTGTGTGTGTGTGTGTATGTGTGTGTGTGTGTGTACAGTGTCTCATTCTGTAGCTCAGGCTGGCCTTGAACTGTCAATTGTCCTCCTGCATCAGCTTCCCATGTGCTGAAATTAAAGATATGAACCACCACACCTAGTCCCTAGTTTTCTGTTAAGTCATATTGTTATTTGGGGAGGGAACAAAAGCTCAAACATTTGCTAAATATTGGCCATATGCTTTGAAACTGATTTCTCAGTGTTTACTAACTTCCAGAAATGAACCTCATGCTGGCCTATTTATTCACTCTTGAAACAGATGGGCAGCTGCTAGGAAGGAAGAAATCCATTCTAAGAAGCTGAATCTCTCAAAAGCTCTCCCTTTAATGCTGAACTGTGGTCATGTGACAGTTCCCATAGTTGCATAGAAAATGTTTCAAACATGTCTGT